CAATGGCCAGATTCTTCACTCAAGACATGTGTGTATGTGGCTAAAGTGCTCTCGACCAATCTCCGCTGGTTTTAGTACCAGTGACGCGGTTGGGAGAGTAGCGCAGGGTTCTCCTGGAGTTCCCTCGCCTGATTGTATATAGGTATGCATGTGTTTTTTTTTTTTTTCTTAGTTTTAATTTTCTTATTTTTTAGGTTATTTTATTTTATTGTCTATTGTATATACTTTTGATTATTATTTTGTTCTATTTATTTTATTTTTTTGTACATATGGTGTGAATGTCATCCTACCTCACTATAACCAATGTCCAACAGACAGATTGTTATAATACTTTTTTGGCGTTACAGACCGTGTAGATCTTTGCCGCCTTAACAAGCCTGCTCCATCTCTGCCTGACTTGGATATTTCTTTCCAGTTATCTGCTCGCAGCTCTGTTGCATCTTTGTTGATTTTATCTATCCGTCTGCTTTTTTGGCGTTTCATGTGGTATTTTACCTTCTATAGAGACATTCATTCTTACGTACTGGCTTCCAGATGGATTGCTATGAGCTACATTGCCCCGCCCATCTTAACCTCCGTGCCTTCATATCATAAAATATTGATTGACCAGTTTCTGCAAGTAGTTCTTTTTTGGTCTTTCTTCTCCATGAGTTATTACTCTGATGCCAGATAGCTCCGGATATCGTACGGAGGATTTTCCCCTCAAATCTTTCAACATTTTTTTCTAGAGTGCTGGTTTGTGCTCAGGTCTCACAGCCATATATTAAAACTGGCTTTATCATAGCATTGTACACCCCTAGTTTGAGATTTGAAGTCACAAGACTGACAAGAATTGCTCCAATCACGATGAACCCTACACGTTCAATCATTACTGACCATTTTAGTTCAGTTCACATAGAGATAACAGGCAGCATGGATCTGGTGCATTGTTCACTTATAATCATGTGTTTAATTTAAAAAGCTTATTTGGATATTATCCTTTATAGTATTGGACATCAAGAGAAAAAATGGAGATATAATGATTACTTCCTAGTGCCTGAAAATCGTTTTTACAAAAATTAGAAAAATATAAGTCAACTACCTACAAAAATTAACTAAACGTATTGCGAAAATAAACAATTTGTTAAGAAAAATAAAACAAAAGAACTGACAAATACACTGTTAAAGATTTTTACTTTCACTCATGTATATATGTAATGTATAATAAGGGTAAGTATTGCGATCGCGAAAATTTTCGAATCTCAGTTTTCAACAGAAATACATGTTTTGAGGTCCCTTGAGTTCAAATAACTAAGTGTCGCAAAATGATCTGTGTGTGTGTGTGTGTGTGTGTGTGTGTGTGTGTGTGTGTGTGTGTGTGTGTGTGTGTGTGTGTGTGTGTCTGTGTTAACAGTCTAGCTCATAAACGAAAAGTAGAACGAAATTGATATTAAGTATTTAAGGTTTGTATATGAGCCGGATGCGATAGTAACTTTTTCGTTAAAATCTGGGAAATGCCACTTTATATGAACGCTGAAACACATTTTCACAATTTTCTCAAAAACGGCTCTAACGATTTTGATTAAACTCGGTGTATCATTGTATAATTAAGTGGTCTTTAATATCAATTAGTCTTATCCCCATTGATGTCACTTTACAGGGCTTAAATGCTCAATGTTCGTATACTTCTTCCTCTAAAGTACCTTTAATATGGTTTATTTTAAAAAGTTAATCATTTCACATTATTCAAAGTAATGAAAAAATGCTAAATATAACGTTCGAAAGAATTTGATAAGTTAATTAAGGAGAATAAAAAATGCAGCAAAACCTGCGTTGCAATAGACTGTCAGTCTCACATCCATCAGTAGTCAATCAGTACACGATCAATCGAAACGTGAATAATGCCATTCCGAATGACCGTGTAGGGTCCGCAATATAGTTTCTATATTTATCAAACAGCTGTTACCTGTTTTTTTTATAACTACCCTGACCCAGCTGATGTTGCATCACTTCCAGAAATATCTAAGACTAGGACGGGTGCATCTAACCATGGTTCGGGTTCCTCTGTGGTCATGGTTTCCCTTTCCGGGAAGTGCATACATGATCATCGGCGTAGGAAGCAGATAACTCACGTAGTTCATGATGCTTGCAATTTATGACAGTCGAGTAATTTAAAAATATTCAAAGAAATATATTTTGTATATGTAATGGATATATATAGATATAGAGTGTAATTGGCTTGTATTAGGAAATTCAGGAAATTTAATATAGATTAATAATAAGGTTTATGCATCGATGCAGACTACAGAGGGCAATCCCTCCTAAAAAAAAAGGGGACGAAAATATCGTTTAAACCTTCTCTCCTCAATGATTTAAGGCAAAATCAATAATTGAAATCAATAATAAATAATTTAAATGTTAATAGTTAAATTGCTCTTCACTTTAATTCTAAGATAATTTGAGGCAAAAGTCGATAAGAAAGCTGGCCTTCAAAAATATTGAGCCGTTTGGCGGGACCTACACCCCTAAATTGCCAAAATAACGAGGTTATATAGGCTTAATATTTTTGAAGGCCGCATTTTTCTCGAATTTGTGCTCAAATTATCTTACGATTAAAGTGGAAAGCAAATGGGTATTTACGAGTTTTTAGTACCTAATTAATAGACAAGTTGCCACCTCCAGATTGAAAACGCCCAATTCCGAGAATTTTCGTAAATAAAATATTTTTAGGTTACGATGAGATGAAGCTATTTACGAAGTTTTAGCCGGATGTTAATAATTTGATAAAAAAATGTTTGTACCACGGACTGCTTTATAGTTATGAACGTTTTTATGGATATTTTTCCTTATCTAGTCGCACTAAGAAAACGGTTTACTTTTTTTTATTTAGAGGTTGTACAAACCAAGAAATCGAAAATATTTTTGAAGAGAAGATCAGTAAAAAAATCCCCAACCAATCTTATCTTCAATTATTCACTACAGTCAGCCATCAATCTACAATTTTTTAAAAAATATTTATGTTTTTAACGATGTTAATAAATAAAAATAAAAATCATCGATCCCCAGTCAAAATCAAAAGTCAGCACCCATGGAACCACAAGATGGTAGTATTTCAAAATTTGTGCTATCAAAGTTATTGGGATTATGAATATGTAGAGTAAACTATATAGTCCGTGGTACAGACCCCTTTTTATCAAATTATTAACATCCGACTGAAACTTCGTAAATAGCTTCATCTCATCGTAACCTACAAATATTTTATTTACGAAAATTCTCGGAATTGGGAAGTTTTCAATCTGAAGGTCGGCAAACTTGGTCTATTTAATTAGACAATAAAAACTTGTAAATACACATTGACTTTCCACTTTAATCGTGATATAACTTGAGCACAAATTCGAGAAAAATGTGGCCTTCAAGATTATTGAACCATTTGATGTGACCTACGCTCCCAAATTGTCAAAACAACGAGGTTATATAGGCCAAACAGCTCAATATTTTTTAAGGTCACCTATTTTCTCGACTTTGTGCTCAAGTTATCATACGATTAAAGTGGAAAGCAAATGGGAATTTACGAGTTTTTAGTACTTCATTAAATAAGAAAGTTTGACGATCTCAGATCGAAAACGCGCAATTCCGAGAATTTTCGTAAATAAAATATTTGTAGGTTACGATGAGATGAAGCTATTTACGAAATTTCCGGCGGGAGTTAATAATTTGATAAAAAGGGTCTGTACCGTGGGCTAATATTTTATAGGGAACGTTTTTATGGATATTTTTAACTAACTAGTTTATTATTTTTATTTTGAGGTTTTACAACCTAAGGAATAAAAAATATTTTTGAAGAGAAGATTAATTGGAGTGGTCAGTAAAAAAATCCCCAACCAATCTTATCTTCAATTATTCACTACAGTCAGCCATTAATCCACAATTATTTAAAAAATATTTTTGTTTTTAACGATGTTAATAAAAAAAAAATCATCGACTTCCCAGTCAAAATCAAAAGTCAGCACCTATGGAACCATAACATGGTTGTATTTCAAAACTTGTGCTATCAAAGTTATTGAGAGGGGGCACATTTAGACGGATTATGAATATTTAGAGTAAACTATATAGTTCGTGGTACAGACCCCTTTTTATCAAATTATTAACATCCGGCTGAAACTTCGTAAATAGCTTCATCTCATCGTAACCTACAAATATTTTATTTAAGAAAATTCTCAGAATTGGGACGTTTTCAATCTGGAGGGGGGCAAACTTTGTCAACTTAATTAGACAGTAAAAACTCATAAATACCCATTGACTTTCCACTTTAATCGTGAGGTAACTTAAGCACAAAGTCGAGAAAATAGGTGGCATTTAAAATTATTGAGGTTATATAGGCCAAACGGCTATATATTTTTGAAGGCCACTTATTTTCTCGACTTGTGCTAAAGCACGGGCGAATCTACGGGGGAGGGGGCTTTCGGACTGTAGCTCCCCCCCCCCTCCAAAATGGAAAAATATAACCATGTTTAATGGGAAAACAAATTTAAAAAATACCTCTTAAGTATTATTGTTCGTGTAATTACATTTAAAAGTACTTAAGGAATAACTTAAACACCATTTCATATAGGTAGTTAGTTTCTTTCTGTTTTACCAAAGTAATTATCGTTTTTTTTTATGAAAAAAAAAGGTTTCGGGCTGAACCCCCCCCCACAAAATCAAATCCTGGATCCGCTAGTGTGCTCAAGTTATCATACGATTAAAGTGGAAAGCAAATGGGAATTTACGAGTTTTTAGTACTTCATTAAATTGAAAACGCTCCAATTCCGAGAATTTTCGTAAATAAAATGTTCGTAGGTTACGATGAGATTATGCTATTTACGAATTTTTAGCCGGATGTTAATACTTTGATAAAAAGGGGTCTGTACGACGGACTACTATTTTAAAGATGTTTCAATTTGGAAATAAATCAGAGACAAATTAGACAAACATGGAACAATGTGAAATTATATTTGATCTATAATTCTACTTTCGCTTGGATTGTTTTGAAAAAGAAAGAGCAATAAAATTTCTTCGGAGGGAGAAGGAAACATGAAATCATGTCGTCATCGGGATAAGAGCACTCTCGATTCCTAATTTTAGGTCTTTCCATGGTTTGGAGAACACATTTGGATCAATCGATACATCTGTCTGCATCCTTGGTTTACTCCATATAAAAACGTCTAATTTATTTTCTAATAAGATAAAGGTTATAATTTTTTAATATGTTTATTATCTTTGAACAAAATACATCAAGTGGTTTCCGAAATACTTTACCTCGACTAATGTTTAAGGTCGTGAACTAAAGTCTCCAACCTGCGTTCGTTCGCTCCCGTTATCATTTCCATTACTTTTCCGTTCTTGAGAAACAGAAAGGTAGGAGTCATGGAGACGTTGTACCTCTCCGCCAGTTCTTTGTGTTCGATGTTCACCTTCAAGAATATCACTTCCTTATTATGTTCAGCGAGTTCTTTACACTTGGGCAACATTTCTTTGGATGGTTGAGACTCGTCTGAATGAAAATGTACCACGACAAGCCGTCTTCCAGCTTCGACCAAATGGGACTGGAAGTCAGCAGTGTCGATGACCGGGAATGGCTTGTTCTCGGTTTGGGTCGTGGTTTCCATTTTGGTTCTATTTATGTTGTGATGTTTACTTGTAACAGAGTTATCATTTAGAAAAACTTGAAACCTTGATAAATAAAAAAATAAAACACCTGTGTTAAATGTTAATAATGCGGTATTGGGAGACATTTTATAAATAATTTTCATTAAATATTTCTATACTAGCTGATGTACCCATCGTTGACGGATACATTGTTGAAATTTGAGGATCCGTGTAAAATTATAACTTGATTTGAATATTGTGGAGGACTTAAACGAGGATGATTTTTTTGGGGGGATTTTTTCCTGAAATCCAGTTAATCCGTCTGGTTAGTCCTAAAAATGTATGTGAAGTTAAATCGAATGACAACTTGAACGGGAAGATCGGATAATGTTAAAAAATCGGTGTGTTTTCTCCGTTTTAAGCGACAACGCGTTACAGGTGGTCGGTATTCCGGATTTTTCCCGTTGAGTTATGATAATATTTTATCCATCAGATGGGTAGTACAACTTTTAAATGTGGATCGCGATAGAGTAGGTTAAGATGAGAATCGAAGTAACTGCCTAACCGGGATCTCTAGACATATTACTCAAGAATTTATAGCTTTGGTTCTACTCAATATTTTGTTTTCATTTAAAAACTATATTTTAATTCAAGCAAACCTAAATATAAAGTCAAAATTTCAAAAGTCTACCAGCCGAGTTTACTCCTATCAAAATTTCGTTAGACAATGCGGACATACAGACAGACAAAATTTTTTTTAAAAGTCGGTTTGGTGTCTGTAATGTATAAAACGGAAAGAACCAATGAAACGGGTTGATTCTATGCAATTTACAGACAAAACCTTTATTTTATTTGTATAGATGTTCTTTAACCTATAAACATATGTTTATTATTACCATTTATTATCAACATTAACCGAGATCTTTAGACAAATTAATAAAGAATTCATAACTTTGGTTCTAAGTTAAGCAAACCTTAATATAATGTCAAAGTTTCAAAAGTCTGCAATAAGCCATTGCTGAGCTTATTCCTGACAAAATTTCTTTGCTATGTGGATATACAGACAGACCAACAATTTTTTTAAAGTGGATTTGGTGTCTGCAATGTATGAAACGGAAAGATATCATAAAACGTGTTGATTATATTCAATGTACAGACAAAAACTTTATTTTATTTATATAGATTAACGCTACAGATGTGATTCGTAAACACGAACTAATCTAATTTAGGGCAAAACTTTCAACTAATCTTTCTCACTGGCCAAGGTCTCATTTACGAGATCTTACAAGAGAATACGGTTAGAAAAAATAATACATTAGTGATGTATTACTTATGTATAGCAGGTTTGCTTACTACTGCTAAATATACAGGTTCTTGATTATAGAATAGAATAGAACAGAAGAATCAACTTTATTCTGGGACAAGGTCCCTTAAGAATAATAATTTTGTACATAAAAATTAACATAACACCTGGCCAAAATACATATTACATTAAAAAAATAAATAAAAACTAAGTAATGACAGAAGTATTTACATAACTATACAGATATATAAAAGAAATAATAACAGCATTGTCACAATACTGCAAAATAGTCGCTACAAACAATAAACTATGGAATACTAAATGAAATTTGAAATGAACGATAAATTACTTATGTTGTCATACTATTCAATTAATGAAAAAAATAATAATAAAAGAGCAGATAAATATTTACTATAAAAGTGATATATAATCTATATCCTAAACTATATATTGATCGGAGAAAATAAAAGGTGATATACATATAGAAGAGTGCATTCAATATTAGTTAAATGCATTCAATTAAATACTGCTCAAAGACTTAGAATATTACACATTTAAACTTGACTGGACATATTTTCCATACTCAAAAAAGAATATATATTTATATACAAATGATACATAGAGAAAAATGCAAGTTTGTTACATGATAAATGGCTACCCAGCGTCTGATTGCATTGTAAGGAGGAAGTGGAATAAGAAGGTTTTAAATATGGATAAGGATGGTGCATGGCGGATTTTAAGTGCGATGGAATTCCAAAAGGTGGTGGATCGGACAATAAAGGAGTGTTGAAATGAGGCAGATTTGTGGAAAGGGATATAAAGGTCAGAAGGACGAGATCTGTGGAGAGGGAGTGGATAGATGACATGAATTGAAGGAGATTGAATGTCTAAGAGGGACGATGATTATAGATTATTTGGTAAAGGAATGTACCTAGGAAATATTGTCTTCTGAAGGAGAGAAAGAGCCACCCTAACTCGGCGTAGTAGTGGGAAACATTAGAACGTCTCGGGGTCCCATTGACAAATCGTACTAAGCCACTCATTATTCTTTTCAGTCTGTCTCCAAGTTCCGATGAGAGGCCACCGTACACTACGCAGCCGTAGTCCAGGTGGGAGAAGATGAGGGCGGATACTAGGAGTCTACTTGTGGACATGGGTACTAGATGTCAGATGAGATGGAAGAGGTTCAGGGTGGAAATTGAACGTTGGGATATGTGGGAAATATGATGATTCCAGGAGAAGGTTTGATCTATGTTAAACTATTTAAAAATATGAAATTTAGCCAATTATTCACACACGAGGTTATAATCCGCGGTATAGACCAATTTTTATCAAATTATTAACATCCACCGAAATTTTGTAAATAGTTTCATCTCATTTAAACATATTTTATTCACAAAAATTCTCAGGATTGGGGCGTTTTCAATGTGCCGATTTCCACATTGAAAACGCCCCACACTTGGTCTATTTATTTAGGTACTAAAAACTCATGAATACATTTTTCCCTTCTACTTGAATCCTAAGATAATATGATCAAAAAATCGGGAAAAAAAGTGGCCTAAAAATATATTGGGGCGTTCGCCGTATATAATCTCGTTACTTTAACTTTACGTTTAAGTTGAGGTCACATCAAACGGACCAATATTTTTTTGGCCACTTTTTTTCGACTTTGTTACAATTTTATCTTACGGTTCAAGTAAAAAGCAAATTGATATTCATGAGTTTTTAGTACCTAATTGAATAGACAAATTTGTCCGATCTCCAGTTGATAACGCCCCAATTCTGATAATTTTAGTAAATAAAATATTTGTAGATTAGGATCAGATGAAGCTATTAACGAAGTTTCTGGCGGATGTTAATAATTCGATAAAAAGTTGTATGTACCACGGACTATTACTACAACATTTTTTTTATTTATCTATAAATGTTTTGAGCTTTTCGAACACCAGTGTCATTTTGCCCTTTATTTCAGTTTTTTAGATGAGCCACTACTAGTATATAGATAATAAGACCAAAAATAACAGACACAATTTTGCAGTTACTGCAGTTTAATTAATTTTTTTAATATACTTTTTGATGGAGAACTATAAAGGGAAAGCAGGACTCCACGAGATACCTGCGCTATTCTATCGACCATTAGAACCAATACCTCAGTAAATACACAATGTTTACCGATCTCAAGATTGAAAACGTCCAATTTCCGAAAATGTTCGCCAAGTCTTAAATGGATTTAGATGGATGTTAATAATTTGATAAACAGGGGTCAGTACTGTGTACCCCTGGACTAAAACGAGTTATATCGTAAACTTCTGCTCAAAATTTGGCATTTCCTTTCATTTTATCTGACTCATGTGGCATTATCGCTACAACGACTGTAACTTTAACCTGTTTTCATAATTTTTTTTCTTTGTTAAGAACGTTGAACGTTATTTCAGTACGTTTGAGGCGTTTACAATCTAATAATATCATGGAATCACATGAATAAAATCATAAATGAAAACAGGATTTTCAATTTTTTTTATCTGTTGTTTTCACCTTGAAGGCCCTGAAAAGAAGGTTGCTCGTTCATGATCGACGACAAAGAGGTTGAGACGACAGGAGGAAAAAGGCCGTGACGAATGTCAGGTTTCCTCTGTGGCCTACTGACGCCTCTTCCCTATTTTTCTTTTATTTATTTTTTTTCACTTTTGTTTTCCCTTCAGGAGTTTTCCTGGTTAAAAAGAATGATTCGAATAAAACAGTGCATAGTACTGATTACAATTATAATAGTTTGTTTAATCTCATTGGTTTACTTTATTTATTAATGTTAAAATTTGGTTTCAAAGAAATCTCTTTTTCTTAAAAAAAATACTAAAAGAAGAAAAATGTTTTACAGTTGAAGGCTTATTAATTCTATCTTTAAATAGAGCTTGGTTATCAGAATATAATGATCTTTTTTTTTTCTGTCGGCATTACAGACGTAAGATCTTTTCTCGCTTTAATCAGCCTTCTCAATCTCAAAAATCCTCTACACATTGAGTTTAGTTTTGTATAACTTAACTTGCTTGTACAGGGTGTTACGTAATTGCATAGTAATATTTTAGGTATGTGTTCACTACCACAAAATAAACAAAAAAGTTCGTATTAACATATATCTCAAACTTATTTATTAAACATATATCAAAGGTTAAAGCTTTATTATTTATTAATATTACAGCACCGTTTCTATGCACCTCGCCATAAGTTAAAAGCATGTATGTTTGTTCTGCAAAACCGATAAAATTTATGGTGTCTCCCATGATAATCATAAATTGAACTGTGTCACAGTATTCACTCACAATAAAACACACAGAACTAAACAAACAGATGAGCAACTACTGTCCAGTGTTGCCGCGCGCTCTGTGACAAAACCTCGTACTGAAGCCTCGTACATCCTCGTACGCTTGGCTCATTCATAAATCGTACTATTGTAAGCCCAGTGTTATTGTTTTTTTATAGTAAAATTAGATCAGAGCTTTTTATTTTTACCTCTATTCATATATTTTAAAGCCTTTTTACATTACTTTTTTTTAAGTTAATGGGTCAAGAAGTAAAATTCGCTTAATAAAATATATAAAACAGCTTATATATTTTTATTAGAAACTACTGGACACTTTATATAAAAATTGAAATAGCAAAATAAACTTATTATAGTACTCTTCATCAGTATCCATCAGTAGATCCAAGATTTAATTTGGGGGATGACTATTTTTTTTTCTTTTTTGTAAAAACAAAACAACAACTTTTATGAAACGACGTTAGTGGTTCTGGAAGGCCAATAAAAATTTATTTTGGGGCATTGATGCTTTTAGAGATAT